GATTTTTGACAGTTTCCCCCGTGTTTCCCTCCTCAAAATAAGAAACAAAACTACAACTATATTTTTACGGGGATTTTCTGACGTTTGACGCTGACTTTGGCACGATATGATCGCACTACCATGTACACGCTACCGTAGGCGGCAAATGAGTGGTCATTTTTATACAATCGTCGAGAAATTTTGGCGTTATGCACCCGGAAGTGAGCCGATCTCAGTTTGCGTTCCCTCGATTTTTGACAGTTTCCCCCGTGTTTCCCTCCTCAAAATAAGAAACAAAACTACCGCTATTAAATAGAACCATGTATTACAATTATCATTTCAACATGATAGATCTATTATATATTCCTTTATTTAAGTATGATATCATCATGGTTGTGGAAAGTCCTCAGCTAGCGAACCGAGTCCTTGCGCCGGGAGTGACGGTACATTTTACCGTGAGTATTAAAGCCGCTACTAGTAAGCCGCGCGCCTTACAAAAATTATAATAATTTTTCTTTTGTGCCAAAAACCGCCGTGAATTTAAGGCATGAGTTACCGATTTATATTTCTTCTACGGCAGATATTTCTTGTTTCGTCACGTCCCATGACGTCCTGTGAGAGCGGTAGGCCGCCGCTGGTACAAAATGTACAAGACGTCGTCTGCCCACTGCTACACTTTGTTGACAATGACATACATTGTATTACACAACGTAATTTTCCGCTAGAAATAACGATAGAACAGCAATAAAAGATAGCACAGTCGACACATGGATAAACCACAAAGTTATTTTACGAATCACATGTCCACTTGCCTCTGGTACTGTTACTAGTATTTTTCAAGGGGCAACATCGCAACACATTAGCGGACGCCCCAGGAGGTGGCAAATTGCTATTGTCTTGTCGGCGCGCAAAACAAACATGAAATCCGACCCTATCACATTAACGCAAACGGTAACGCGTTAGAAATAATTTCTGACGATTTTCTAACGATCTTCTGACGAAAATCTAACCAAATACTGACGAAAATCTAACCAAATACTGACGAAAATCTAACCAAATACTGACGAAAATCTAACTCGTTAGTAACGGGGTACCTGGTTAACTATAACGCGAACGGTACTGTACACCATGGTGGAAAAATATAATAGATACCATTAGTTTTAACCTTCTCCCTGATGCCTAACCCCAAAACTAATAGGAATTTTGCAGCCAAATGGCTACATCAGTTAGCACAAGGTTAATTCAACTAGCAGACTGTGAGATAGGGGATGAAATCCCCATGATTCAAATTGAATGTAGAAAAAAACTGAGTACTAGTCACTATGAATTAATGTTACTTGACTGTAAGGATTTAAAATGACTAAAAGACTCATAATGTATTTAGTAACATGCTTTGCACTATCAAACTTCAAGAATTGTCTAAAACTAATACTATATGTTACAGTAGAAAGACTGTATACATGCATACCACATACAACTTAAATGTAAAAAAGAAAAACTTTGTAGACATTCAAACATCCAGTAAAAATATTACATGGTACAAAACATATCAAGCAACATATCATCAGTGACATCTGCAATTTTTTTCAGAGTAACTACTGAAAGATAGCAGATTCTATCTAAGATGTCTAAATCCTCTGAAAAATCATCCAGATGCATTGCTTGATTTACTAATTTGTATTACAATTTGTATGATTGAGTAACTTACGTGCCGCCAAATGAGATACAGAATGGAATTGTTCCTCAAGCAATTGTTGGATAAATTTTGAAAACTGTCAGACGCTTCGAGTAGCATCCACTACTTTTTCTCAGTAACAGTATTATGAACAGTTTGTATAATAATGAGTACTTACGTGCCGCCCAAGCTAATGTTGAGCGCGGTATCCCCGTACGGGAGTTTCTGTAAGCGCTGCATACCGACCGCCACGTAGTACTGACCGTTCTGGACCTGGGACAGGTCCTCTACCATCGCAAAGTCCATAGTAAACAACCTGCAGTAAACACAAACAAAACATGATGAAGTCAAACTGTTTACAGAACATGATTACATGAACCAACGATTTGGGTTCTCTTAAACACAGGAATACACAAGAACAAGCCAGAATACACATTTACTCATCAAAACATGTTGTATTCTGCCAGCTGGTGTTGTGTATTCCCCTTTTATGTGTATTCTGGTCTATCCTGAGGTATTTCTGTGTTTAGGAGAACCTAACGATCATGTTTTGATTGCAAGGCTTTTGTGTATACTGTATCCTATAGTTTAATTTTTTTTCTTTCTTTGGAATTAGCATGTCAATAGCAAAGGGGCTAACAAGATCTTTTACACGTCTGAGAAGAAAAGACTCAACGATTGAAAAAATAATGACTGTCTTTTAATGACTAGTAGTCAGATATAGGGAGAGAATATTCAAATGACTGCATAGACATTGCTGTAACAGTTTCACTGAAAAATGGCAGAATCTCAAAAAAAAAAGTAGCAAATGTGAAAAGTGACATGAGTCAAAACTAGAGTGCAGCAGGCACTTAAAGAAATGACGTCTCTAAAGCCCACTACATTTTCTGCTCTGCTTCATACATGTCATATCAAAACGAACACAAATGTCAAAGCTTTTAGCAATCTTGTACAAAAAAAGGCATTGCTGTCAACGTTACCCTAAGGGTTACATCAAATGCTGAAAAAAAATAGACCCAATGTGTCAAGGGATGGCAAGAAACTAAATGTGCAATCTGAGAAGCACTATAAAATCAACATTAAACCATAACATCCCTAACTATTTTTTCTGGTTCACACTAGTAGTATTGGTACCATTTACTACTACTAGTACTGTAAATAAGAAGACGAAATATATTTCATCTTTGATTGTAACAGATACGTCTGATTTATGAACTTCTCTATTGCAGATTATGACAAAACATATTCTCACAGCCATCATTTAGAAAAACCAGTGGGACGTTTAACTTTTTTACTTTTTCAGCGACATAAATACTCAAACCCAGAAAAACAGACACTCCTCTCTCCTGGAATACAAGTCTAGTTTCTCATTTTGGTACTATCTTTCTACCTTTTTGGTAAAAATTTTACCTGCAACAAGCTATCAGTCAATGTAATTACAACTAGTTACCATGGTGACAGACTTTTGGTTCAGGTCATTGACCTTATTGGTTTGGAGAAGAAGAAGAGGAAACTGAGAGCAAAAACAATATGTTTTCCTTCAGTAATCATAATAAACATGTTAAAACATTAATTCTAAATTTTGGAGTTTTCCAAATAAAAAAACTAAGATCTTTCCCTAACTTTGACTCCATTACCTGACTGACTGAGGTCTGTGGTTAGACGGAGGAATAACTATCGTTCCTATCGAGGGAATCTGGTAGGCCGCGGCCGCGTACGGACTACGGACAGAAACAGAGAACGCAAGGTCTTAGAGCGAGAACTCCTTGCATTCTGCACTGCCCACTAAAGAATTGATTTTAGCACCCTGATTTACTTTTTAGTCCCTGAACATTTTGACACAAATTTGAGTATTTTCAATTTACTACAATTGAATTGAAAGTTTTGAAAAGTCACAGAAGCCCAGTAAAGATCTATTTTGCCTAAATCCACAAATCCAAAATGGCGGCACTTAAACCCACCTTCTAACGGCGCCGGTTGACAGCTCGACCTTCTGTGCCACGTACTCCAGCACGTTCTCGAGAGTACGCATCATGTACTTGGTCAGGAGAAGCTTCATCGGACGCCGCGCAGGCTCGCCATTCCTGTATATGCTGCACGAGGTAAACAACAAACAAACAAATAAACATCAAACTAGAAAGGTAACAGTTGCAAAGCAAATGCATAATGTTTACTAAAAGTACCTTCGCATATGGTCTGCTCTGTTAATTCTTACTCAAACACATTCATATATATGGTGACAGCAGTCTAAATCCCTCCTGCTATAAAATTGCAACATGATGTAACACAACACTAGTTACCATGGTGACAGATGTCTGGTTGTCATTGACCTTATTTGTTTGGAGAAGAAGGAGAGGAAACAGCAAAAACATTTTGTGTTTTCCTTCGGTAAACATAAAAATCTGCTGAGATATACATTTGTTTAATCAGGCCAGATTCAGCTTAAAGAAAGAGCTTTAATTTACAAAAATTAGTGTTGCTTTAACAAGCACAATTTGACTTACTGTATAGTGACTGGGCCGGTGGCTTGCGATGCCTTCAGATACTGCGCCGATCTCTGCAACCGGCTGTGTTGTACTGGCTTGATCTGCGAACGGGAATCAGGCGACGACATGTTACTGACGTTACGAACACGGTCTGACGATTCGCGACTTCCCTCCAATACTTTCTTAGACTGAATGATTTCAGCCTAAAGTGTGTTTTAATATGTACACTTTGTTAGTAAAAAAACTACCAAGGATACTGAAACAACACCTATGATAGTAGTCAAGCAAGCAAAGTGTTCTATATCTGCATGTGCACCAAGCAATATAATATGGATTATGATATTAAGTATTAGTTGCCATAGAGAAAAGCTTAATATAGCTGAACACTAGATCCCTTAGGCACAGCAAGGCATGAAAGAAATTAGATTTTAGATTATGGGGCATTTCTTTCTAGATGTTGCCATGGTAAGAAATATTTTGGGACTACCCCCTAAATTAAATGATCATCTCCCAAAATATATTAATGTATATCTCCATTCTGTCAAAAAAAATGTTCTCACCCCAAAGATTTTTAATGGTATACTGTCCTAGTCTTTGCATTTGCAAACTTGAGAAAAAACATGCACGGATTTTGAAATAATTAAAACAGAATAACTATTCTCATGGACTGTTATTAGTAAAATTTGTGCTATCACAAGGCAAAACTAGACTCCAATATCACCAGTAACAAGGCTTCAATGTTTTTTCCCAAAACATTCTCACTGAGTAGTTGGGATACTGGTTACAATGTTTTCTCTCATCTCTACCAGGCTTTTGTCTCAAGGACATATCAAGTGTCTGGTATCTTCTTTATGTAAGGATGTTTTTCCAAACACATCTTTGGTACAACAAAGGACAGGCTCTTGGTTACAATCCGACATAAGACAACGCATCATCAGTGTACGCTACGGTGTAAGGTTAGAAGCTATGTCTCGTCAATAGAGATCTGTGTCATGTATCCTACGCTACCTGAAACACGATTAGAAAATCCGCCGCTATTTATGTTTGTTTGTTTGCCTGAATGGGCCTAATATAGCGTGAAGATGTTCCGACCCGTATCACGTAGCAGTTGCAGTAACAAATTTTTCCAGCGCGGAAATTGTCACTTAGAGGCATCCAATGCAATTTCAGGGAAAACTGGATTTTCAAAGTCAATTTTCTGGTCAATCTTTTGATGTAGTAAGTTGAAAGGACCCTATCCCATAGCATACTGATATCTGTGAGGCAAAAATGTGATGTCACTGATAGAAAACAGTTGCTTTTTTTGTATCGGAGGCTACTGCTATTTATGGGTGGTACCAACAAATAAAGACACCTCATGTAGCTTGTTTTTGGGGCTATTTCAAATACTTGAAATATGAAATGATGATGAAAATTGTGCTTCAAACTTAAACCCTTGTCCTGCGGAGCCCAACAATTCGTTGTTGTTCTGCACATACAGTACCATCTACATGTGTATATAGCACCCTGTGTACATGTAGGTACAATTTGGGGGTATTTCTCGTGCAACGCACCACACCGCAGCGAAACAACAAATGCGGAAGTAACTATGCCACCGCGGGGCAACAAAATTTGGGGGTCTATGATCTAATTAAGACATAAAATTATTGAACAATATTGTGCCAGGAATGCCAGCAGGACAAGGGTTAAGAAATAGCAGTAAATGTCAATATCAGACAGATTTCCTCATCCAGATTTTTTTTCCACCCTGAAATTGTATAGGATGCCTTTAATGATGAGATCCACTTGAATGTTTAGACACAGAAGAAAAGACAGAGTCACCAAGAGGGCGTGTCTGTTGCTAGGATACAGCTGGTGCTCATTAGGGCCATAATTAGGTGTGATCACATGCCCAGTTACTTCTAATGACCTCCCTCTGTGCAAGCACCATCCCTACTGGGAAGATAGCTCTTGGGAATGAAGAAACTATACATTAACTGCCTTAACTAGACAGCATTAGAATGTTCAGGGCTCGAAATTCATTTTTGGGAATAGGGTGCACCCAACCTAAAAAATTAGATGCACAAAAAATTTTTGGGGTGCACCATATAAAACAAAACCTAATTACAGATCTTACTGCTCCTCTTCTGAGCTTTAATCTGAAATGGGAGCTACCTTGGGAATTTTTCCAGAGTTCCCAATAGGTAGCTCTGATAAGGCCACACCAATTTAATTTCTTGGTTAACGGATTTGTCTAGAAAAATAATGGAGCGGGTGGGCGAAAAAAAAATAAAAATAAAAACAGGCCTAGGCATCCTATTATGGCCCAAAATGGTACGATAGGAGCCATGAAGTCAACACACCAGGCTGGTTCAAAATTTAAACAATGAATTTTGAACTTTTAATGATACCACTCCATTGGAAGATGGAATAACTGTAACAACTAGGATGAAAAGGACTGTTTTCAACTGTTCAGGACAAAATATGAGCATTTTGCAGTTGATTCTGAATTTCTATTTTTATTTGCAAATCAGAAAAAAATGAAGCGGGCGAATCCATTAACCAAGAAATTAAATTGGTGTGGCCTAACCTTTCAAAGCACATGGTTGCCATCAAATGTTCATATAGCAAGAAAAGTGACTGACTTCAAAGGCTGAAAACATCTGGATAGCATTGCCTTTATGTCAGCAATAATAATCGCTGATCTGAATATCGTAAAACACTCACGCAAGACGGTCATTTGCATCAAGGCTGACATTTTCTGTCCTTGGCAGCAGAGGGCTCACATCAGTGAGAAAATTTGTCTTTCTTTGATACCCTTAAGTTTAACCTTTAAAGCGTCTTCTTGAAAGAAGTTTGAACCAAGCTTAAGGACACCTCTGAAAAAATTTTGTAGAATTTGTATAATTAACACACAACATTACAACTTGGAACAAACATTTCACCGTCTGTCAAAATACATTGAAAAATATATTTTTAAACTGGCTTTCAAGGAGCAAATTAAAAATTTTCCCCAATGAAAATCTGTTTGAGAAAAAAGGGTGGGATAGACATTTTGAAGGTTGAAATTTTTACAAATTTTCTCGGGAGAAAAATTGTGGAATAGCAATATTCGGAAGGTTGAAATTTTTACAAATGTTCTAAGGCCACACCAATTTAATTTGTTGGTTCTCGGATTTTTTCATGAAAAATGTGAAGCGACAGGGACGAAAAAAAAAAAAAAAAAAAAAAGCCCAAATGGTAAAGCTAAGGCTGGAAAAGGGATTGAGAACAAAGCTATGACTATACATGCTAAAAAATTGCTGTTTTATAGCCTATGTATCAAGGATCAATTATTGATGTTAATGATCTGCCGAATAAACATATCCCCCCGGAATAAACGTACCCCCCGGACAAAATTTTCAAAATCCAATAAAGATACCCCCCCGGAATAAATTTACCCCCCCGGAAAAATTTACCCAAAAATTGAATGGGTAAACCTGTGTCTCTTATACCTAAAATGTGCTCTTACTGATATACTAGAAACTGTTATGCACAAATCTTTAACTGTTATTTGCAATTAGGAATTTAAATAGACAACAAAGAGAGCATTTCTAGTACAAATGTAGACATGTCATGTTGTTGGGAAATACATACAGTCAAACCTGTAATAACGACCACCCCTGTATAGAGACCACTCGTCCATTACGACCACTTTTTGTTGGTCCCTTGAATTTTCCCATC